TAACATCCTCATTTAGTGCTCAATACTAATTCGGGATGATTGGAAATGGACGGAGAGATAAATTTGAGATAATATTATCATTAGCAAGGTATGCGGTTAATTTAAATTGCGGACTCAAAGGATTTAAATTGGAGAAAATTGGAGAAATTATTTGATTTAATTTGGAAAAATGGGAGAATTGAGGATTCTTGGATATGGATATATTTGATATATTCGTGGAAATTGTTTGTTGTGGATATTACTTGATTTACTTGTGGAACTATGCAATTCGTTCGAGGAGATTTATTTGAGGAGGATTATTTGATATATTTGAGGAGAATTATTTGATTCGTTTGAGAAATTATGTGATTTATTCGAGGAGGCTCTTTGATATACTCATGAGATTATTATTCGATTTATTCGTGAACTTGGATTTATTCACGGAATTCTTTGACATATTTGTGGAGCTTATTGGATATATTTGAGGAGATATTCCTAATGTGACAAATTCTTTACTTCGGGTGTTGGTGGCCTCTCTCTCCTCACCGCCCTGGGCAGACTCACGACGAGAGACTAGACAGGTTGTACACCGGCCCGCTAATCCCTTCTTACACGAGGAAGATTTACTTGATTGATTTGTGGAAATATTATGTGATTTATGCATGATATTATCTGATTTGGTCGAAGAGATGTTATGCGATTTATGCGTGGAACATTTGATTTGATCGAGGTATTATTGGATTTATTGAGAAGTATTATTTGACTTGCTTGCGGAATTATTCGATTCGTTCGAGGAAAATTATTTGATTTGCTCGAGATATTATGTGATTGAAAATGAATGAGGATCGTGATTTCGAATTGAGGATATTTGATGATTTTTCTTGATAAATGCGGCTCTAATTTCGAATTGAGGATATTCTGTGATTGTGCTTATCGTGTGTTTGGTGCATTTATCGGTGAGCCCGAAGAGACTGATCCAAATTATATGGTTCGATATCTTGATATATCCGGAACCTCTCATTTGAATTTTCATGTGAATGTGTGGAATTTTTTGAATTGATTGTCGATAAATTCGGTGCGTCTAAGCATGTCATCGCTTGAGCATGTCTTAAATCAAGGAGATGGTGATATTTGTATTTGATCTCTTGTTTTTCTTGTGTGGACCATTGCAAAACGGATAACTTGAATATAATATGGATAATGATATTTCTCTGAATTCTTGTCGAGGAAACAACGAAATAACCCGAGTTTGGACGAGCTGGGGTGGACGAGTTGTTAAGTGTCGAGGACAAAATGGACGAGCATGGATCTATACAAGAAGGGTGATAATGAAGCACAAGCATGGATGATATAGGTCACCGGTGGCAATCTGAAAGGCAGAAATCATTCTCTTTCGGGAGAGATAAGACGATTTGGAGTGGTATTCTCAACCGTCAGGTACAAAACTACTCTCAACTCTTTATTTGGTGGTCGAGTTTGATCGACACATATGAATATTTGAACATTTTTGGCGAAATTGATGGCATGGTGAGGTACATGGGCATGTTTGGATTATTATTCGGATGACTAACAAAATTATCGAGTGTTATCATATCTTGTTATGTTCTATGTTTTCCTTTTCGACCTCAGTGGCAGGTCGAAGAATTTGAGCACAAGTCGTCAGATACAACCAGGAAAAGGAGGTTGAATACATTTGATTCTTTATCTTGTTCGATATCATTATGCACATTATGGGACTAACGAAAACGATCTATTACTATCATATCTTGTTTTGCTCGGTGTGTTGCTATTTGACCTCAGTGGCAGGTCGAAGAAAAAAATCCACCATGACTAAGGCCTCTGGGCTGGGTGGTCGCTTGTTTAGAACACCCCTTGGAATGGGCAGGTTGGTCAAAGACCTCCTGTTTAGAACATTCCTCGCGGGTGGGCAAGTGTCAAGACCAAAACCCACCATGACTAAGGCCTCCGGGCTGGGTGGTCGGTTGGTTAGAACACCACTAGGGGTGGGCAGGTTGGTCGAAGACCTCCTGTTTAGAATATTCCTCGCGGGTGGGCAAGTGTGAAGATCAAAACCCACCATGACTAAGGCCCTCGGGCTGGGTGGTCACTTGTTTAGAACATCACTTGGGGTGGGCAGGTTGGTCGAAGACCTCCTGTTTAGAACATTCCTCGCGGGTGGGCAAGTGTGAAGACCAAAACACCACCATGACTAAAGCCCTCGGGCTGGGTGGTCACTTGTTTAGAACATCACTTAGGGTGGGCAGGTTGGTCGAAGACCTCCTGTTTAGAACAATCCTCGCGGGTGGGCAAGTGTGAAGACCAAAACCCACCATGACTAAGGCCCTCGGGCTGGGTGGTCACTTGTTTAGAACATTACTTGGGGTGGGCAGGTTGGTCGAAGACCTCCTGTTTAGAACATTCCTCGCGGGTGGGCAAGTGTGAAAGACCAAAATCCACCATGACTAAGGCCTCCGGGCTGAGTGGTCGATCCTAGTGTTGGGTCGTGAAGACACGGATAGCTCGAGCAGACCTCGGAGGCAGGTCGATGATTTCTATTCGGTTCTGTTTGATCTGGTATTATTGTATATTTGTTCCTAACCCAGTTGCAGGTTGAGGGAAGCCAAAATCCACCATGACTAAGGCCTCCGGACTGGGTGGTCGATCCTAGTGTTGGGTCATGAAGACACGGATAGCTTGAGCATACCTCGGAGGCAGGTCGATGATTTCTATTCGGTTTTGTTTGATCTGGTATTATTGTATATTTGTTCCTAACACAGTGGCAGGTTGAGGGAAGACAAAATCTACCATGACTAAGGCCTCCAGGCTGGGTGGTCGATCCTAGTGTTGGGTCGTGAAGACACGGATAGTTCGAGCAGACCTCGAAGGCAGGTTGAGGATTTCTATTCGGTTCTATTTGATCTGTTATTATTGTATATTTGTCCCTAACCCAATGGCAGGTTGAAGGAGTTCATTATGGATGATTCGGGCAGTACGAAGACAAAATCCACCATGACTAAGGCCTCCGGGCTGGGTGATCGATCCTAGTGTTGGTTCGTGAAGACATGGATAGCTCAAGCAGACCTCGAAGGCAGGTCGATGATTTCTTCTTGGTTATATTTGGTTTATTATCATTGTACATTTGTTCCTAACCTAATGGCAGGTTGAGGGAAGACAAAATCCACCATGACTAAGGTCTCTGGGTTGGGTGGTCGATCCTAGTGTTAATTAACATATTTATTTGACTTGGTTTTGCTGTATTTATTTGTGATTTCGATCTCAGCGGCGGGAGTTTATTATGGATAATTTGAGCAAATGGATGGTTTTATTTGGTTTGGTTCTGCTGTATTTGTGATTTTGATCCCAGTAGCAGGTTGATTGTGTTTTATCTTGGTTTTCTCGAATTGATTTTTCGACTTCAAGGGCAGGGAGATGAGATTCATTCCGTCATAAGCAGGTTGTTTGCGCTTTATTTGATTGTGCTTCTGTCGAATTGATTTTTCGACTTTAGTGGCGGGTCGAGTATATTCATTATAGCTTGAACATGTTAATTATGCTTCTGTCGAATTGATTTTTCGACTTCTGTGGCGGGTCGAGTATATTCATTATGGCTTGAGCAGGTTGATTGCGTTTTATTTGATTATGCTTCTGTCGAATTGATTTTTCGACTTCAGTGGCGGGTCGAGTATATTCATTATGGTTTGAGCAGGTTGATTGCGTTTTATTTGAATATGGTTCTGTCGAATTGATTTTTCGACTTCAGTGGCGGGTCGAGTATATTCATTACGACTCAAGCAGGTTGGTGGTTGATTTATTTTTCAAAGGAATATTCAACAGACTTGAATTTTAAACTTTGAACTGAGGGGTGATAGGACGAGGTGGTATAAGGGAGCTCGAACATGGTGATCGAAACACATCAAACGTAAATTCAACGGTCTCTCGGTTTTCGACCTCAATGGTCTCTAGGTTCTCGATTTTCGACCTCAACGGTCTCTCGGTTTTCGACCTCAGCGGTCTCGACTCTCGGTTTTCGACCTCCGCGGTCTCGACTCTTGGTTTTCGACCTCCGCGGTTACGACTCTCGGTTGTCGACCTCAGCGGTCTCGACTCTCGGTTTTTGACCTCCGCGGACTCGACTCTCAGTTCTCGGTTTTCGACCCCAGCGGTCTCGATTCTCAGTTTTCGACCTCAGCGGTCTCGACTCTCGGTTTTCGACCTCCGCGGTCTCCCGACTCTCGGTTTTCGACCTCCGCGGTCTCGACTCTCGGTTGTCGACCTCCGCGGTCTCGACTCAAGGTTGTCGACCTCCGTGGTCTCGACTCTCGGTTTTCGACCTCAGCGGTCTCGACTCTCGGTTTTTAACTTCCGCGGTCCCGACTCTCGGATATTTCTAAATTGTGATGGGGCCCATATAATTTTAAGGAATTCGTTTGAGACCACTTTCATTTCATATATTCACACTTTAGTCCTAGTTTTCTTCCCCTTCCCTTCCCCTTTTTTTTGTTTGTATGTTTGATGAATCGATTTATAATTTAATTCTATCATTTAATGAAAATTTTATGACTAATTATATAAAAAATAGTTAATTTTAGAAAACTCTTTTGATATTCTTAATGTGTTTTGGAGTTTTTTTGGTTCTTAATAATTATATAATCGTGTTTTAAAATTTGGTAGATAACCTGGCTAGCCTCCGTGTCACTGGGTCAATACTGAACTGATATATTATTGTAAAACATACTAAATTATATATACAAAGAGTATGAACCGCGGCCCTACGGTTCCCGATTCAACGAACCGGTCCTTAAGAGGCCGGTTCGGGCCGGTTCGTTGCCGCTTCGCGGGTCGGGCCATGGGCCGGTTCGGCCCGTGGCCATGTCTAATCGCGCCCTAAGATTTTCATATATATATATATATATATATATATTTGGTTAAGACTACTTCAAGATGAGTTACCATTATAGCACTAACTAACTAACTAACTAATTCGTGTTTGGTGGATTATCGATCTTTTCCAATAGGGACCAATGTTTAGTTTCAAGAAGCCCATCGGAAGTGTTATTGTGTCGGCCCACAAACTATTGGGCTCACCAATGGCATGCGGTGTCCACATGACTAGAAAGAGGTACATCAAAGCAATCTCTAAAAACATTAAATATATCGAAACCATCGATAACACGATATCCGGAAGTCGAAATGGCCACACGTCGGTCTTCATTTGGTACACCTTAAACACGAAAAGGTCGTTCGGGTATTCAGTTAGACGTTAACAAGTGTTTGACGAAAGCTCGGTATTTAAGAGATCGGCTCAAAAGGGAAGGTATTAGTTGCATGCTCAACGAGCCCGGTTTTGTGGTTGTTTTTGAGAGGCCCCTGAGCTTCGAGTTCGTTAGAAAGTGGCAGCTTTCGACTCAAGGTGACATGGCGCATGTTGTCGTGATGCCACATGTCAGTTTCGAGATGTAGGACGATTTTGTGGACTGTTTTGTTTGAGAGAGACGTGTTTGGTACGATCGAATAATCGAGTCGAGCCGAGCTGTCTTGAAGAGGATATAGGGGTTTCTAATTGTGCTTGGTCGGTTCATGGCAAAGGGTTCACTACATATGTGGAAAGAGTTTATGATGAAATGACAAGTTTGGATAGTGTGGGTAGATGATGGATAGTTTGAGGTCTTTTTTTTTGTTATTTCTTTGTTTTGTTGTTGGGTTAATTATCTTCCCTTTTTATTATTATTATTTATTTATTATTTATATTTTGAAGGTTTCACTCTTTGGTGAGGTCCTCTAAGAAAATAAAAGGTGGTAATATGTTGTACCATTTTGTGTTGTATATGTGGAAATTAACACTATTTAAAGTATGCTGTCAAACTTGTGACTAGTAATAATGGGAGATGCTAATGGTAACTATTTCGTCGAAATTTGTAATTTATAGATTAACTATCTCGACGATTACATGATGATCTAACAGTTACAAATCTCGACTGAAAGGTTTCTGACGGGACCAGAGCATCTCTAATAAGTAATATTAGTCAACGAACACGAATTCGATTGCCCCATTTTTCATCTTCAAACTATTTGCAGTCCCACGAAAACTGTGTGAAATTTTCGCACACTCAGTGAGCTGCATTTTCTCTTCTCACAACCCTCAGAGATCATCGATGATGGCTTCTATGGCTTTCTCTTCGCTTTACACCGCGCCTCTTCACAGTTTAGCACTCTCCAACCTGCAACTGAACTGCAAATCCGGTTGTCTGACGTTTCTTGATTTGTCCAATCGATCGAGCATCGGCTCTTCGAAATCAACGTTTTCTCGAGATGGGCTTTCGAATTTATCCCCAATTGTTTCTGGGTTTCTCTTAAGAGTCTCGAAATTTCGCTTCTGTTTACGCCAGGGCTAATTTCCTAATTTCATGGGCTAATTCACTTTTTATGGAATTTATTTTTATAATGAGGTTTGTTATGTCCATTGGCCCCATCCAGATGCAACCCTAAAGCCCCCACTTATTTAAGCAGCCAAGCATCATCCATTTTTTAGCCGACAACCCGAGCTTTCCATCCCATTTTAACTTGATACCTGAAGGAGGTAAATGGATTAGCCTCTTATCATTATTTTCAGGCGAGTTTAGTAGTTTTAAAAAGGTTTAAGTTTGAGAGCATGCTTAAGATGAGTTATAATATGAAGAGAAAAGAAATTGCTTTGTGGTACTGTTGTGTTGTGTAACTTGCTGAGCTATGTACATTCGTAAATCAAGTTGAAAGTGAGTATTTTTTTAGAGCTTTTAATTTTAGTTATTAAGGCCTTAAGATGTGTAATTTAAACATGGATTAAAAGGAAGGGTTGCTTTTACCATGTATTTGTTGTTTTGTGTTATGACCTTGCTGTGACCTTTTGGCATGTTTATACTGATGAGAAATGTGTGTTGTTTGGAGAAAGAAATGTTTATATGCATGCTTATATGTTGTAAAAAATTTTAGGTGTGTGATTTCCATTTCTGCTGAGCTCTGTTGAACTCTTTGGCATGCTGAAAATGTGATTTTTTTTCTTTATGACAAGTTCAGTAACAAGTCTTAGGTATAGACATGATAAAGATTTGCTAAAGTTGAAACAAATAAGAGCATGTTTCATGAGTTTATTAGCATTGTATGTTTGAGTACGGGTTTTTGTTGTTTGCTTCTGTGCATTGTTTGTTGCTTTTTGCTAAGCAAAGTTGAGACCTTTTTCATGCTAAAAATGAGCTTTTTCCAGGGTATAGCCTGTATATTCTGGGTTAAATGTGAGAATAGAAAAAGAAGTTTAGCATGTTGGGAGGGCTTGGTCTATACTTGTTTGCGACTTGTTGTTGTGGCTTTATCATGTGTTCAAAGTGAGGTTTTGCTTAGTTACTGAGCCTATTTTATGTAATAAGCATGCTTATAATGTGATATATTTCAGATGTATAACTATGATTTGTTCGCATTCTTTGAAGTTGAAAGTTATGATAAGAGAATGAAGAAAGGGGCATGGTTTGTTGTGTTTTATAATATTGTTTTGCCTTAGGTGTTGGTGTGCAATTTCATGTGTTATAATTGATGTTATATATAGGTTTATTGTGTGCTTAGTTGTTGTTACATGTACTCAGTTGTTAAACCTTGTGTGTTGGTGAATGTTGAAGAAAAAAGAAAGAGTTTTTAGTAAGTGGTGCTTACAATAGTTTACTAATATTTAAATAGTAAAATGTTTATGGTATTATATGCATCGCACGAGTATCACTAGATGATTTGGTTATAAGGATTTAATGCTTTAAGTAGGCATAAAATTAACCATCCCACATTGAAATGACCCAGATTATATAAGATATAAAAAGGGAACCAAGTAGTTTACAAGTAGGGTTCCACAATCTTCCTCGCGCAGCAAAAAATTTGTATACATCTTTTCGTCTTTTTTTTTATTTGTTCTTATTCGGATTTCGTGTGTATTTATACGAATCTCAAATTGATTTTTTTTGTAGGATTTCCACAATCTTCTTCGTAGCAAAAAATTGTATACTTTTTTCGTCTTTTTTTATTTGTCCTTATTCGGATTTCGAGTGTATTTATACTGATCTCAGAGTGTTATTTTTTTTTCTCAAACATCAAATTCAGTACACTTCACATTGATTATCTGTGTAAATAAATTTATTTGTATTTTGTCATTATAATTCTTTGAAATAGATCGACCACAACTAATAATAATCTAGTAATAACCAATTTTATTCATGATAATATTGATGTAATTTTTTATTTTTTTTGTCCATTTCTCATTTTTTATGTTTTTTTTTTCGCTTGAACTCAAACCAGGTTGCAGGAAGGACTTATCTTGAGGGTTCTGTTTGTTGCGCATAAGAATATCTGATTCTGCCACTTAAAAAATGACGATAATTAATTAAATTTGAACAAAATTACGTAACACTCTGATCATTAACCAATGATTAAATAAACATTGAATTTAAAAATAGTGTGTTACTTAATTTTGTTCAAATTTAATTAATTATCGTCATTTTTTAAGTGGCAGAACCAGATATTCTTATGCGCCACAAACAGAACCCTCAAGATAAGTCATTCTTGCTACCTGGTTTGACTTCAAGCGAAAAAAAAAACATAAAAAGGAGAAATGGACAAAAAAAAAATTACATCACTATTATCATGAAATAAAATTGGGTATTACTAGACTATTATTAGTTAGGGTCCTTTTATCTATTTCAAATAATTACAATGACAAAATACAAATAAATTTATTTACACAGATAACCAATATAATAATCAATGTGAAGTGTACTGAATTTGATGTTTGAGCAAAAAAAANAAAAAAAAAAAAAAAACACTTTGAGATCATTATAAATACACTCCCAATAAGAACAAATAAAAAAAGACGAAAAAAGTATACCATTTTTTGCTACGAAGAAGATTGTGAAAATTCTACCAAAAAAAAATCACTTTGAGATTCGTATAAATACACACGAAATCAGGGATAAGAACAAATAAAAAATAGACGAAAAGAAATACACAATTTTTTGCTACGCGAGGAAGATTGTGGAACCCTACTTGTAAACTACTTTGGTTCCCTTTTATATCTTATATAATATAATTTTGGTCATTTCAATGTGGGATGGTTTACGTTATGTCTACTTACAGCATTAAATTATCCAAGAGCGCTTGGATGAGATGGCTTAGGTCTCTTCCAGCTTAACCAGTGGTCTCGTGTTCGAGCCCTGGGAATGCAGCAGTGTTAAAAACTCTTGAGGGAGAGCTTTGCCGCCCTTGTGGTCCTACCCGGCTCGTTTTCGGATTAGTTGGTTCCCTTGTGGATCCAAAAATCGGAAGGTCCTTGTAAAAAAAAAAAGCATTAAATTCTTATAACCAAATCATCTAGTGATAGTACTCGCATATAATACCATAAACATTTTACTATTTAAATATTACTTAAATATTGTAAGCACCCCTTTCTTATACCTAGAAAATCACATGGTTTTCCAGAAAATTTTAAACTTTCCCAAAAATATTTAACTTTGAAAAAAAAATTTGGGCACTTACTAAAAACTCTTTCTTTTCTTTCCCTTTTCTTCAACATTCACCAACACTCAAGGTTTAACAACTGAGTACATGTAACAACAACTAAGCACACAATAAACCTATATATAACATCAATTATAACACATGAAATTGCACACCGACAACTAAGGCAAAACAAGATTCTAAAACACAACAAACCATGCCCCTTTCTTCATTTTCTTATCATAACTTTCAACTTCAAAGAATGCGAACAAATCAGAGTTATACATCTGAAACATATCACATTATAAGCATACTTATTACATAAAATAGGCTCAGTAACTAAGCAAAACCTCACTTTGAACACATGATAAAGCCACAGCAACAAGTCGCAAACAAGTATAGACCAAGCCCTCCGAACATGCTAAACTTCTTTTTCTATTCTCACACTTAACCAAGAATATACAGGCTATATAAACTGATTCAAAGCCCTGAAAAAAGCTCACTTTCAGCATGAAAAAGGTCTCAACTTCGCTCAGCAAAAAACAACAAACAGAGCAAAAAACAACAAACAGTGCACAGAAGCAAACAACAAAAACCCGTACTCAAACATACAATGCTAATAAACTCATGAAACATTTTTTTTCTTTGCTTCAACTTTAGCAAATCTCTAGCATGCCTATGCCTAAGACTTGTTACTGAACTTGTCATAAAGAGAACAAATCACATTTTCAGCATGCCAAAGAGTTCAACAGAGCTCAGCAGAAATGGAAATCACACACCTAAAATTTTTTACAACATATAAGCATGCATATAAGCATTTCTTTCTCCAAACAACACACATTTCTCATCAGTATAAACATGCCAAAAGGTCACAGCAAGGTCATAACACAGATCAACAAATACATGGTCAAAGCAACCCTTCCTTTTAATCCATGTTAAAATCACACATCTTAAAGCCTTAATAACTGAAATTAAAAGCTCTAAAAAAATTACTCACTTTCAACTTGATTTACGGATGTACATAGCTCAGCAAGTTACACAACACAACAAGGCCAAGAGCACCACAAAGCAATTTATTTTCTGTTCATATTATAACTCATCTTAAGCATGCTCTCAAACTTAAACCTTTTTAAAACTACTAAACTCGGCTGAAAATAATGATAAGAGGCTAACCCATTTACCTCCTTCAGGTATCAAGTAAAAATGGGATGGAAGGCTCGGGTTCTCGGCTAAAAAATGGCTGATGCTTGGCTGCTTAAATAAGTGGGAGCTTTAGGGTTGCATCTGGATGGGGCCAATGGACATAACAAACCTCATTATAAAAATAAATTCTATAAAAAAGTGAATTAGCCCATGAAAGACCCTCAAATAAATTCCATAACAAACACCATAGCTATATAAAAAGACCCCCAAATGTTCAGCTAATTTCTTCCTAAGAGACAATAACTCACGAAACCCTGTACTTAAAACAACTCATTCTTGCAATTAAATAGTGTTCAAACCGAAAAAAAATCAACCAACACCATCGCTGCGTAGAAAGACCTCCAATTGTTCAACTAAATTAGTTCCCCCTAGGCCCTATAGCTAAATCTACTTGTTCTTGCAACCTAGAAACTTCCAAATACTAGATTGGGAAGCTGAAAAAGGTAGCATACAAGAACCCCAGATTCAATTGTACCTAAAATTACAAATAATACACAGAGGGAGAGAGAGTGCGAGCTCTTACCACAAGAGAATGAAGAAGAACAATGACATTGAGCCGCTAAAGCTGCACTTGGAGACACTGCCATATCTCAAACGTTGTCTGATAACACGGATTAGACTGAAAGATCCAAAATTGCGAAAGGTTTCAGCACAAGAAATGGGTAGACAGAGAGAGATTTGGAGGGTTGGGGTTTAGGTGTGGAGTTTCTGATAAAAATCTCGTCTTTACAAAAGGATGGGCTCTCCCCTGTAAGAATTTCAAGGTCCAAAATTTACAGAAGCACCCCAAAAGATTTTTTTTATTGCTCTACAGTCTACACAATTTGGATATTTCTAAATTGTGATGGGGCCAATGTAATTTTAAAGAATTCGTTTGAGACCACTTTCATTTCATATATTCACACTTTAGTACAATTGAGATGTACATTGACCTAACAAATAAACCCCCAAGAGATGTACAAAGAATATCGAAGGGATACATAAGCTAAACTCGATTAAATTTTGCAATTTTTATTGTAAAGAATATTAAAAATGCAGAAAAAGAGCTATTGGCTGGTGATAGAAAACTAACTTCCTTCAATGAGTAGTGTGTAGCAAGACCGCATGCCATCATTTCAACCCCGTTTAGTTTTTCTCCAGTTAGAGCTAAATATTCACCTGCACTGATATGACGAGACTAAATAACAACTTGTAATTTTCAAATTCTTTATTTTACCTAGATGAGAAATTGTATGAGATTCAAGAACAAGAATATTTATGTGTGTGTGTGTGTGTGTGTGTGTATATATATTTGTGTTCAAACCATACCTAAATAGCCAGGCAGACGAGAGAGATAATACGAGGCCCCTGCATCAGGATGAAAACCTATTTGAACCTCCGGAGTCGAGAAGACCTGAAATTTATGAAGAAAACAACATATCATCAAAATCCCACAACTCACACCCAAAAAACTTTGATGAAGGCATAATGTTCACCTGATATCGATCAATTTGAAAAAAGTAGCTAATTGTGATAAAATAATGTTATGAGCTGCCTCTGAATATCAAAGCATGGACCAATAGAAACTCATAAATTATATCTTGTAATGGACTATATATAGTTATTGACATGCTACATTCACTTTCTTTTTTTGGGCTCAATATACAAGTGAAGATTGGTACATACCATGATACATTGTCTTTATTTTTTTTCAATATACAAGAGAATATTGATACATCCACTTATATTGCGTTAACAGATGAAGAACATTTATTCGTATAAAGAGAATAGAAAGTCAACAAACTGTTCCCAAAAAATTGAAGTTAGAAAAAATATAATGCAGCCAGGTAAAGAAAATGTACCCATTTTCTAATCTTGATTCAAGATTAAATTTTTAATCTATAAGTAGAAGGCAAAAGCAGTTCATTTCAGGAGGTCAAATGAGGGAGCAGTATTCATACAGTTCTATCAGATACAACTCGAAACATCCCGGGTAGCGAAATACCTGCCCCGCCTCCCATTACAATACCATCCATTATAGCCACCTGCAAAAGGTCAACTATATGATTTAAACTAAAGGAACAATTTTGGCATCTCACAGAATTCAAGAAAAAAAAAGATAAAACTACACTTTATCATAACCATTAGTGTTCTGTATCAGCAAAAGATCAGAAAAGAAGATAATAGGTGCTTCTATCTTGCAAAGACATAAATTTAACATCATGTAGGACAATTTTATGTGATGCTTAATCAGTATGTTAGTAATTTAGAACTGAAAGAGAAGATACTCCCTAGAATAAGAACTATCTCTACTTTTTTGTTACCTTTTTTTTTAAAGGGAGCATTTTGAGGACTACAAAATTACAGGTTCATACTTCATGCACAAATTATATGAAAGGACAACCACAAAAAAAGCAAAGTAAACAAAGCTAACAACTTCTTCATGGTATAGTAACCGCATATATAAGACATTAAATTCATCTTTAATCTCCTCAAAAATTGAGGGCAAAGGTAGAAAGAGTACAGCCCACACACACAAAATAAATAAACAAATAGATAGATAAATAACTAAATAAAAGATTTTATCTTTAGCGAAGCTTTCCATCAGAATGGATACGGATAAATGAACTCACGTGTGGCTTAAGATATGTTCCCATAACATAGACAAACTTGTACAAACTCTGGAACAATGCTTTGCATTCTTCAGTCTTCCCTGTAAATTAATTTAAAGTAAATTAATCCTAGGAAAAAAGCACAAGAGTCATCATGTTCAACCAGGGTCGATGCCATCAGTTATTCATAAACACTAACCCATGATTTGGTGGATAAAGTATCATAACAGGTTAGACAAATGCTTAATCAATAATCACGCATATCTATATTGAAGTACCAATTTTTAGACTACATATCAATAGTGTGTGAATACATATACAAAGAGCTACATTTGAGCATTGGGGCTACATAAACTCATCAATATCTTGCTGGAATATTGATTATGAATATCTATGAAAAATGTTGAAACCATACACACTGGATCAAATTCACTATTATGGGCAAATAGTACCAGTTCTTGAGGCTCGATTCAGCAATTCCAAAATGATATTAAAAATAAATAAATAAAAAACAGAAACCAAAAATTTCACATAGGGGCCGACCTTCATTGAGCATCCGATAAAGAGCAACCACATCTGTGCCAGAGCAGAATGGCCATTCACCGCCCCCCTTCACGAAAAAAGAACAACTTCACGAGAGGGAAAACGAGTTAAATATCTCATGGGGTTGGAATTAAAACAATCATTTACCTTCATCATGACAAATCCTATAGTCGAGTTCTCCTCCCACGACTCGTATAATCTGTTTAATCGAGCGGCCTAGCATTTAATTGCAAAATGATCTCAATTAATGCAAACTAAAAAGACAAGTCCTATAGCCAAAACATAAACCCTAGAAGCTGAACACTGAAAAATTAAAACATGTACTTTTACTAGAGCACACTGTTTAATAGAAAACACAAAACCATAATCTATTAGGCATATAAAATAGGAATGAAATTAAACAGAGAATTTAACATGGAATTCACCATGGAGGCGGTGATAGCATTAAGAGCAGAAGGTCTGTTTAGAATGGCCATCCTCGAATTAGCTCTGCCTTGCACTAGAACCTGCAGTTTTTTTTTTTTTTTTTTTTTTTTT